CTCATCTTTCTCCCGCGGAACCACTGGTAGTTTCGAACTACCGACCTTGAGGTTAGCAGTCCGATTCGTAACCACTACGCTATCAGTTTCTTAAATGCTAGCAGTCTTTCATGCCGCTGTTGTTAAGTGCTGTAGAGTCAGTTCTGTATAGGGTTTCTGAGGAGCGGTTGGTAAACTTGAACCACTGACCTTGTGGTTCAAACCGACTTTGCATGATTCACCATGTCCGCTGCAGACAATGAGAAGCTTCTTCTGGCCTCACATCTCTGCCAGACTCTTGTGGTTTCCATGTGAGGACAACCTCATTTATGAGGTCTACCCTGCACTGGACCTGAAAGGATGATCCTTTGACCAGCAGCTAAGTAGGCATCCTTGGCAAGACACAGGACTCAGATGAGCCAGGGACAGAATCGCTTAAGAGCACCCAGTTTCTCTAGACACAGCCACATTTTGGTTTTCCACTTAACAGTATGTTCTGAGCAAATGTGGATTCTGCACTAAAAGACTTAAAAATTACAAGGGGAAAGAGTCAGCTACATAGAAATGTAAGGTAAATTACTTAACCTTTGTGCCTGCATTTCCTCATCTGTAAAATGGGAAAATATAGTGCCTACCTCATAAGGTTGCCATGATTAAGTGAAACAGTAATAATTTTCACAGTGCTAGGCACAGAGTAAACACTCAAAAACCTAGCGGTGTAGACGGTCACATATGAGGTTGTATAAGTTTGAAATTATTTTTGATGCAAGTAACAAAACAAATAAGCAAATGAAAATCTAACAGTAGCTTAGACAATCAGCGTTTATTTTTCCCCATATGATAACTCCAGAGGTAGGTGGTTAGTTCAGTGGTTCAATAAAGCCAGGGTCTGTTCCTATGCTGATATCTCTCATCCATTAGCTCCTTCCTCATGGCTGCAAGTTGGCTGTTGTAACTTTGCATTCAAGGCAAGAAGGAGGATGGAGTGGCACCATGCACTAGTGCCTCCATCCCTTTTGTCAACACAATTGTTGTTGTTGTTGTTAGGTGCCATCGAGTCGGTATTGACACATAGCAACCTTATGCACAGCAGAACAAAACACTGCCCGATCTTGAGCCAACCTCACTATCGTTACCACACTTGAGCCCATTGATGCTGCCACTTTGCCAGTCCATCTTGCTGGGGGGTCTTCCTCTTTTTCTCTGACCCTCCACCCTACCAAGCATGATATCCTTCGCCAGCGACTGGTCCCTCCTGACAATATGTCCGAAGTATGAGAGACGAAGTTTGGCCATCTTGGCCTGCAAGAAGCACTCTGGCTACACTTCTTCCAACACAGATCTGTTGGTTCTTTTGGCAGCCCATGGCACAATAGCTGTCTTAAAATGCAGCAGTGCTTGCATCTCATTGGCTAAAACCATGTGACGTGGTTAACCTAGCTACAAGAGAAGGTTGAGTAAGTTGTCATTAGTTCTTCTAGTCTTGCTAGAGGAGGTATAAGGGAAGTGGATGTTGGATTAGCCATAGTTGCATAAAGAGAAAAGGGCCTTGGTGGCACAGTGGCTAAGCACTTGATTACCTAAAAGACAGTGGCTCCATGGGAGAAAAGACTTGGCCATCTGTCCCCATAAAGATTCTAAAACTCATAGCTGGCAAGTCAATTCAGACTCATGGGGACCCGTAGGCAGAAGAGTTTCCAAAACTGTAATGGTTACTGCTGAGCTTTTGATTCATAGCCATGTGCTTAGTCACTGCACCACTTTCCATAAAGACTGGGAGAGTCTGTGGGGATTTAGTGCTATTGGGCACTGTTATGGATTGAATTGTGTCTCCAAAAATATGTGTTGTAAATCCTAACTTTTATGTTTGTGGTAGAGTCCTGGTTGGTGTTGTGGGATAAAGCACTGGACTGCAAGGTCAGTTTGAACCACAAGGTCAGCAGTTCAAACTCAACAGCCACTCTTTGGAAACCCTATACAAGCTCACTATGAGTTGGAACTGACTCCACAGCACATAACAACAACAACAGCAACGTTTGTGTTTATAACCTCACTGTTATGTTTATAGACAGAAGGTGTGTAGGGTTTATTTTAAGTCTGCCTTTTGAGATATTAAAGAGATTAAGCAAGCAAGCCAGAGAGGCAGAGGTGAGGAAGGAGAGATGCCAAGTCAATGAAGATGATCCAGGAGCAGAAACTCCTTCCCCCCGAATTCAGACTTCTAGCTTCCTAACTTGTGAGGAAATAAAGGGAATTCTATGGCGGCACTAGATAACTAAGAGGAATCCTGGTGTAGCACTGTAGGATAAAAACTGGACTGCTAACTGCAAGGTTGGTGGTTCAAAGCCACCAGCCATTCTTCAAAAACCTTATACAGGGTCAGTATGAATTGGAACCAACTCAACGGCACTTAAAAACAACAGAAAACGTCAACAGTCTTCTTGTTCGCAAACGATTTCCAGAAAACAGGATAATGTTCTTTGACCTTCTTGTTCCAATTCAGGAGCAGATATTTCAAATCTACTTTATGTCTGAGGTCTTAAAGAAAGATCTAGTATAACTGTCCTTGTTGTGTTGAATTACATATAGCCCCTCCTACAATGTCTTTGAAGATGACTTAGAAACTGATAGTTGTGGCTGGGTACACACTCAACTATTAAAGTAGGTAATGATTTCTGAAGATGCTCACTAGATAGGCTTCGATGATAAGCTGAATATTTGTTGGGTAAATTATAATGCAAAAGCATAAACCCTTATGGAACTTAAAAGCTGCTGGACTCTCTTGCCATTCAATGCTTAGTTTGATTTGGAGCTTTTTGGTTTAATCTGAAATCTCTTTTTTAAAAATCACAACACTAAGTTACATAGCTACTAAGTTAAGGATTACTCTTGTTGTGACGTGCTTTCGAGTTGATTCTGACTCATAGCGACCCTGGATAGGATTTCTGAGGAGCAGCAAGGATTACTCCAATGTTGGAATTTTTCCAATTTGGTTCTGAGATTCTGCAGATATGCTTCGGCATTTGACAAGTAATAATGTAAATTTCACTTTAATATATAACTTTAATCTATTTAACAACTGTAATAAAAGCCACCTGCACTCAAATATGTTCTATGCTAAATTTTCATGCACTGGAGATGCCATCCATAGCTAGTCTTACTAGGTCAACATTTTGTGGAGAAGTAGGAATGAAGTTTCTCTTGCCATCTTTGTTTATTAAGGAAATCTCTTGAGACTGTGAGACAAGCTGTTTTAAAAACTTATTAAAATTTGGAGCTCAATATGAGTGACGTAGGATTTTCTCTATAATAAGCAATCAAAACAAGAGTAGATGCTGGAGCTAACATAAGGATGACAATTGTCACCTAAACCAAGGGTTATCCAGCTGATTCTGACTGATAGAGACCCCAAAGGGCAGTAGAATTGCTCGCTAGGTTTTCCGAGGCTATAGATTTTTATGGGAGAAGACAGCCTCGTCTTTCTCCCTTGGAGCAGCTGGTGGGTTTGAACTTCTGACCTATTGGTTAACAGTCCAATGCTTAGCCCACTGCACCACCAGAGTTCTGTATGTTCTTTAAGCAGTCTTGCTGATCTGTTTGACATTACAAGTAATTGTTATAAAAATAAAACTTACAATTTATGCTTCTGAAATACTTCAAAAATCTGCTTTATATATTGAGGCTCCATGCAAGATTCTATGTGAATTAAAGATTCTTCTGCTTTATATTAAAAAAAATTTTTTTGAAAAATGGAATGGTTGTAAAGGGCATCTTTACCTAACAATAACACACTGGTGTCCATTAGTTTCCCCAGGAAAGAAAGGCTTGGTTTACTCTAATATCTGACAACGGTGTTTGCCTCTGCAGAGTTCAGCACATCGTGGGAAATCTTATTATGCAGCTCATTTTGGGCATTCCCTTGGAAATGGTCCACAAAGGCCATCGAGTGGGGCTGGTGTACTTGGCAGGAGTGATTGCAGGTCAGTGTTCTGAGGATAACACAGAGGTGAAACCTCTGCGCTCGGAAGAATGAAAGCTAACATTTAGAAGGGGCTTCTATTTAACTCAACGTGTTTTTGCACCGCTCAGATGTCTAGGGAGCAACTAAGAATTAGCGCTCAAAAGAGAAATGGTTTCCTTCCTTAGGCATCTCAGTCAGATAGAGTTTCACATGCTTGGAAACAGCCAGTAGTTTGGTGGAAGGGTGCCTATATTAGGTAAAAGCATAATTGGAAAGGTGCATATGTTTGGTAAAAATTGGATTGTCAGGCTAATGATTGGGGGAAGTAGCATGGTCAAATGTGCATTTAAGAAAGGTAACTGGGGGAGAATGCAGACAGCTACAGGGGAGTGTATGTATGTATGTGTGCATGTGTAGGCAAAGGGCCCAAAGATCAAGTAGGACCCGTAGCATATTTTATGACAGTGATCTCTAATATTGAATGTGCCTAAGATGATCCATTAAGGAGCCCTGATCAGGTTGAGCATTGGACTATTAACCATAAGGCTGGCGGTTCAAACCTACCTGCTGCTCGTGAGGAGAAAAATGAGACTGCTCTGTAAAGATTTACAGTCTCAGAGAGCCTATGGAGCAGTTCTCCTCTGTCCTATAGGTTCTGTGGGTCAGAATTGACTCCCTGGCAGAGGTAGGATGGAGTAGCATGATCCATTATGGTGTGAGAAGAATATATTAGAACTTTGATTTGTATGTGTGTGTGTACGTGTATTAGAAATGCTTTTTTTTGAAAAGTTAAACTTTTTTTTTTCAGTTTTAATAAACTTTTTATTTTGAGATATTTGTAAATTTCACATGCAGTTGTAAGAAACAATACTTGTGTTCTGTATCCCCTTTAACCACTTCGGTGATAGTGTCTTGCCAGTCTGTAAGAGCGCATGTCAACCAGCATGTCAACATCGATACAGTCAAGATGCAACCCATTTCCAGAACCTCAAGGGTCACTCACGTTGGTTTTCATAGCCACACCTACTCCCCACCTCCTAAATTCCTCCTTAAGCCACTAATCTGTTCTCTATTTCTATACCTTTGTCATTTCAAAAATCTTCCATAAATGGAATTATACAGTATGTTACTTTTGGGGATTGGCTCTCTTTAGTCAGTGTAATTCTCTGGAGATTCATCTAGGTTGTTGTATGTATCAGTAGTTTATTCCTTTTTTATTGCTGAGTAGTATTCCATAGTGTGGATGTTTCACGGTGTATTTAACCATTCACCCAGTGAAGGATATCTGGGTTGGTTTCAGTTGTGGGCTATTATGAATAAAGTTGCTATAAAACTTTGAGTATGGGCTTTTTGTGAATATAAACCTTCATTTCTGGTTGGTTTCAGTTGTGGACTATTATGAATAAAGTTGCTATAAAAATTTGGGTATAGGTTTTTTGTGAATAAAACTTTCATTTCTTTGCAATAAATGCCCAAGAACACAATTGCTAAGTCTTATGGTAGTTGCAGGAGCACGGTGGCTCTGAAGGATAAGCACTGAACTGCAAACCACAAGGTCAGAAGTTCGATCCCACCAGCAACTTCTTGGGAGAAAGCTGAGGCTTTCTGATCCCACAAAGATTTACTATCTTGGAAACCCGAAATAGGATCGGTATGAGTCAGAACCGCTTAAAGACACTTAACAACAACAATGGTTGTTGTGGAGTATGGGGATTCCAGAATGGGTATTAATTATGCTCATGAGGAACCTGTACATAGAGCAAGACTATAGAAGAATTGATGCATTTGAGATATGGTGCTGGAGAAGAATATTAAAAGCACCATGGACTACCAGAAGAACAAACAAATCTGTATTGGAAGTACAGCCAGAATGTTCCTTAGAAATCAGGATAGTGAGACTTTGTCTCTTCTACTTCATATATATTATCAGAGGGGACCAGTTCTTGGAGAAGGACATCATGCTTGGTAAAGTGGACGGTCAGTGAAACAAAGGAAGACACCCCCCCCACCCCCACCCCCAATGAGATGAAATAGCTCAGTGGCAGCAGCACTGGGCTCAAGAGAAACAATGGTGAGGATGGCACAGGATTGTGCAGTGTTTCCTTTTGTTTTGTACAAGGTCACTATGAGTTGGCACCTATTCTATGGCACCTAACAAAACAACATGTGCCTGATTAAGACAATGCGGAAATAATTACAAGGAGTAAAAGTAATTCTAGAATTAGGAAGCCATAACAAAAATTTTCTGTACCTCTCAGAGATTTGCTGATTGTTTCATGGTAAATTATTTAGAACAGTTGTGATTCAGATTAAACAAAAACCATACCTATTGCTGTCACATTCACTCTGACTCACAGCGACCCTATAGTTCAGAGTAGAACTCGGTGTTTCCAAGACTGCCACATGTTTCTACTGTGGGTTCAAACCACTGACCTTTCAGGAAGCATTTGAGGCCTTTAACCACTGTTCCACTAGCACCCAGGTGACTCAAGTTAGTTTAGTTTTCTTTTACGGAAAGATGAGAATTTAATTTGCTGACATTATTTCTGTGGTAACAAAGGCTTTCAGTAGTATGCTACATAACATATTGTTGAAAAAATAAACACGAAATATATTCCTTTAAAGACATGGTGCTATTTTTCTCTCAAGGAATTAGAAAAAGAACAGTTTTCCCCAAAATATTCCTGGGATGGGACACACATTTTGGATTGGTAATTGGAAATAGTTCCATTATTAACTGGTTTTGCTGCTGAAAATGATGTAGTATCTCTCATAACTTCATGTTTAAAAAGCTGAGAAACAGTTTTCTAATTTGGTAAAAAGTTTCTCAGTGAAGAGTTTTAGTGGGTTTTGAGTTTATTTAGCGTGGTGCATTTGAGGGTGCTTAGTTGTTGTTATTTTTTTTAACTTACCAAAAAATGTTTTCCAGCATCTGAGAGGAGAAGGGTTTCATGAGGGCTGCAGGCGGACAGGACAGCAGTGACATGGGGATGGTGAGCAGGAAGCAATCAGGAACCTCCTTAAAGAGATAGTATTGGCAAGATGTAGTGACATAGTCTTCCATCCTGTTTCCCACCTACTCTTTTGGATCCTGTCATTCACCGTCTCCTTTAGCTCCTGCCCACACCCATTCCTCCTGCCTTTGAGAACCTTTTACAATGGTCAGAGTCTGCCTGGCACCAGCATCTACACCCTGTTTCCCCACAGCTTGATTTGAACCTTTGGACTCATCCTTACCCTAATTTCATAGAAGCAAAGAAGAGAGAACATGAATAATCTGTTCACATCTTCTGCCTATTTTTGCAATAGCCTACTAGCAGGTATTTCTTTACCAGTCCAATCTTCCTTCACACTGCTGTCTTGGTCACCTTCCTCAAACACAGATTAGATGGTATTGTAAAACAAAAACAAAAACAAAAACAAAAAAATTTAACAGGGGTCAACAGAAAGTTGAAAGACCCAAGAATGCTCTTCACTAACCTCCTCCATTTGGTCCCAATTCTTTTCTTGCTTTGCTTTTTATTTCTTCTAGATTTGATGAAGAAGGGTGTAGAACATTGTCTTTGTAGAGTATGTTATGCTGGTTGACCTTGATGT